CGAGGCCAGCCTCGTCTGGTCTGGTCTACAGAGCTAGTTCCAGAACAGGCCCCAAAGTCACAGTGAAACCCTGTATTGAAAAACAAAAACAAACAAATAAACAAAAAGATTGTGATGAGAAAATAAAAGAGCAATCTATTTGTTGGTAGAAGAGATGAACACAGAATTTTGGGTTTTAACTTCCACCCTATTACCTCTAACAACAGCACAATCTTAACAGCAAAGCTCCTTTTCATTTATTTAATTCTAATTTCCTGGTTTCCTGATGTGTTCCGAATTAAGCACTGAAAACAAAATATTTAAAGCTAGGATCCACTTATGAAAGAGAGCATATGGTTTTATCTTTCTGGGCCTAAGTGACATTACTAGGTATAATTTTTTTCCATTTGCAACTGCTTTCTGCAAATTTCATTTTTCTGTACTGATGAGTAATATATCATTGTGGAAAAGTGCCACATTTTTCTCAGTCATTCATCTGTTGATGGAAACCTAGATTGATTCAATTTCCTAGCAACAAATGTGGACGTGTGAGTGCCTCTGAAGTATGCACTAAATAGATGCCCTTTGGAGTGTAGCTAGGTCATAGGACAGTTCTGTTTCCAATTCTTTGTGAGACTTCCAATCTGGTTTCCAAAGTGACTGTACTTTTTTTCTAAGGACACTGTAGCTGTCTTAGCTTGGATAAGTGCACTCTAATATTTTTTTCACAGTGATAAAATCAACTAATGACTTTTTCACAACTGTTCCCTATTTTAATTGATACATGAGTATATTTCTTGTGCATAGAGCAAGCTGTGAGTAACAAAATAACAAAAGAAATAACAAAATAAAACATCCACTTTCTGTGACCTAGTCTAGTAGAACTAAGAATATATGGGCACAGACAAATAAAAATTCTTAGTAATTAAGCAAATGTCACCTACAATGAAATATTAATCAATAGGAAAGCAATCAGACTACGATTTTTCAAAACACTATAGTGCTGGGAATCCAGCCTCAGCTCAGGTTTAGGTACTGAGATGGGGAAAGGGTGTTGGCCCAAGAAAAATTTCTTACCACCAGATGGATTGCACTCAAGTGGCCTCGAATACCTCGAGCCATCTTTATTTATACTTTAACAGAAATTTTCTTACCAGCATTACATGAACAGCTTATTATTGGCTCCTATTTTTGACTTTCAAGATACATCATATTTTAAGAAATACATCATGGGCTGGAGAGATGGCTCAGAGGTAAAGAGCACTGGCTGCTCTTCCAGAGATCCTGAGTTCAATTCCCAGCAACCACATGGTGGCTCACCACCATCTGCAAAGAGATCTGGTGCCCTCTTTTGGTGTTCAGGCATACATTCAGGCAGAACATTGTATATATAATAAATATATAAATTGTATATACAACAAATAAATATTAAAAATTATTTTTTTTAAAAAAGAAATACATCATAATCATTATAAAAGCCTGCATTGTTTCCATTTATACTTCCCCAAATACATTTTCCAAATCCCTACATAAGCTTATTCTAGTCAAAAGGTTCAACATTTTTGCAGACTTAACTAAATATTGAGCCCAACATACCCTGCTCTTATAGCACTTATGGTGGCTGACAGCTACTTGCATCTACAAAGGTAAAAACTAGTAAACATGGGCACAATACTTAAAATCAACAATATTCTGACCCATGCAATTTTTTAATGTGTGAATATATGCTTTTGTATAGTTCTCTTTTCTACAAGAGGATCCATGTCTCAGTCTCTGTAAAAGACAGACTTTGATAAGGCACTCTTCCCCCATCTTACTATACTGTACCTCTTCCACCAATATAAATTCCTGCATGTGGTAAAGATAGATTTATCCATCCCATATTTTACATTGCACCCCATATTTTACATTTTACATTACATCCCATTTTTCCCATTGGATCATATTAGATCTTATCATTAGGACCTATGATGGGGAAGTTCAGCCAATCACATTTGACTAGGGTGTGGCCACTAGGGGCCAGGGAAGAAAGACCTGGGAATCCAGGTGTGCTCTTTCTCCTCTTTGCACGTGCAGTGTTCGCCTGATCCCAGTCATGTGAGTTTTCCCGTTTTCAATTATTAAAATAGATCTGTTGTATTGAGCTGGTCTGGTTAATTCTAGCTTACTGGTGGACTACACCCATCAGACCTAGATCATATAGATCATACTAGATCTACATGCTTGGGTGGTCCAGGAGAATTATCTGTATTCTGTCAATCATATTTTATTGGCCAGGCAGGCAGTATAGGCGGGAAAGCCAGACAGGAAGTAGAGGTGGAGCAAAGAGACTAGGAGTATTCTGGCAAGCAGGAGGCTCCCTCCACAGTTCTGCCCAGACCACCAGAGAGGAAAGATGTAAGCTGCCCCGCTGGAAAAGGTACTGAGCCATGTGCTAATGTAGATAAGGATAATGGGGTAACATAAGTTATAAGAACTAATAAGTAGCCTGACCTAATGGACCAATCAGTTTATAACTTATAGAGATCTCTGTGTGATTGATTTTCCTTGGGAGTTGCCGGTTGTGGGGTACCGGGTGGGACAGAAGCCCCAACAAGCCGGCCCTCATGCTACACTTGGGGTCCAGGGGATTTACTCTCAACAGTTGGCACTATGTGTATTCCTGAGACTTTTTTCTTATTTTGTATATTCATGCCTTACTCTCCCTTCCTGAACTGTGAGGCATGGTTAATGTCCTGTGTTGTTTTCTCATATGTACCTAACTATATTTATTGAGTAAGAAAAGCTCCCAGAAGTAGGAGTTGTAGTTATTCATTCCAGATAATAAATTTGAGAAGCATTAGTCCTCTTCTGACTCTAAGGGGAAACCATTTGAGAGAGAACAGAATTTCCAGGAAAAATTTCAGCTGTTGCCTGTGTGATTGACAAAGTAAAACTAAAAATTGCCCAATAAATCAACAATATAATGTGAGAAAAGAGTCTGCAAGCTTCATGAATTCATCAAAGTCCTGTGGTGTCCTGAAGTCTACTGGCCGTTATCAAGTGAGAGACCTTCTTCCAAGTGTCTTGCCTCATATAGACCCATTCATATGTTAATTCAAGATGAGGCTGCATAGCTCCCAGCACTATAGCTATGTTTTGTTTGCCTGTGTGGCCACTATTCTAGGCATAGCCTTATTTGTTGGTAGGGAAAGAAGAATGTGTTGCTTGGTAAACAAAATCCAAGTGCCAACACATACATTTACACATTTGCTCTGTTATTGGTTTGAGGTGATTTGCATAACTTTGAATCTTTTATGAAATTATATACTGATATAGGAGGGTCATCTGTCTATGTGTTACTTTCAATGGTTAATAAAGAGACTGCCTTGGCTTTTGATAGGACAGCAGCTTAGATAGGCAGAGCAGACAGAACAGAATGCTGGGAGAAAGAAGCAGAGTCAGACAGATGCCATGGCTCTCCTCTCTAAGATGGATGTGGGTTAGAATCTTCCCGATAAGCCACAACCTCATGGTGATATACATATTATTAGAAATGGGTTAATTAATATGTGAGAGTTAGCCAATAAGAGGCTAGAACTAATGCGCCAGGCAGTGTTTAAAAGAATACAGTTTCCATGTAATTATTTCATGGGTAAGCTAGCTGGGATCCGGGTGGGAACACAGCCTGCTGCTCCTTTTACAATATACTATAAAATGTTTAACTGGATATAAATTATTCAACACTTTGCACCACATATTGTAAATAATATATTCAGTTTATGTCTGTTAGAAATGGATTTGAGAGAATTTGAAGGACAAGATGATAAAAAAATTGTGATTCAAACACAATTTGAGTGAAAGTCTTTTAATATTCAAGAAGAATTGGTTCCCAGATCCCAAGATTCATAATCTTCAGGTGTTTTAGGTTCTTTACATAATGGCCCAGTAGTTGTATATATCTTACTTGTATCCTCTCAAAGGTTTGAACCTTGTCTATCTTACATCAAATGCCTAATATATAAATGTTATGCAAGTAGTTGCATTTCATATTGTTTATGATATAATGGAAGGAAACTATTTGTGAACATTTACAATGTACAGGTGGTTGATTCAGCTAATGAAAAATTTAGATACAGAGAGCTAATTTTTTTATCTACTGCCTTTAATCAAAGACATTTATCTGACATTGAATTGTATTGGCAAGTAGTTGATATTGACTATTAGGAATCTTTAAACAGCTTAATACAAAGTCTCGGTCTGGCCAACACTTTAAAGTTAGATTTTTAGAGGAAGTAAAAGAATTCCTCAACTTGTTCTAAGCATTGAGGCAGGGGGATTCTGGTAATTAATGGTATATTTCAAGTTCTCTTCCAACCTGTAACAGGCAAGAGACAAACACAAGTGACTCTATCTATAATCTTGTTGAAAATATAAAGTAGCATGGGGTCAACAAAGCTAGTGTTTCAAAGGGTGTTAGTGGACGATATCCTTCTTTTCCCCCAACTTCACACCCTCCCTTAAACCTTCATCTGCTGTCATTCAAATTTGTGCTCTCTCTTTTCATCAATTTCTATTGGTCTGGTCCATTAGAGGGACAGAGCCAGCTTTTCTAGAACCATGCCACCAGGGGGAGCTCTCCTATGCTGACGGTGAAGGATGGGGCCATCACTCCTGAATAGGGGGGTCCAACTCTCCCATAGAGGTCAGGGTCAGCTCTCCTGCTAGTGTCCAGCATGAGGCAGTGCTGGCTCAACATTGCCTTTTTGGGGGGCATGAATGGCTCCTATGACCCCGGTGGCAACATGGCCACGAACATCATCACAGACCCAAGCTGGAGCAGGAACACAGATCAAGACATGGCTCTCTGCAGCAGCTCAGGCCTGGACGTCACCTTGGTCCTGGTGGCTACACAGGCCACCAAGATCAGTATGACTCGCAGCATCAAGGCCATTGGACACGAATGGTCTCTGGTGGCTGTCCAGACTACCTGCAATCATATAGCCCTTGCCGGTAACAGGAACCACGAACATCAACTCAGACTCTGGCTGCTACCAGGAATTAGCAACATTTTAAATTTGATTGATGCTACCCTTTGTTAAAATCTAGTCTCTCCAAATGGATAAGAAGCTGGACATCTTCAGGAGGGAATTAGTGGATGTTCAAGGGATCCCTCTCTTCTGGAGCATTGCTGAGCAGTGGTCCCAAGTGGAGTCATTTGAGGCCCGGCCTGATGATCTTTTGATCTCCACCTATCCCAAATCTGGTAAGAACTTTAAATGTATTGACTCTTGCTGGTTAGATAATGATTCATATTTAGGAGCCTGCCTGCCTTCAGATTCTTGTCTAATCTAAGCTGAATTTTTCTAACATGTAAAAAGAGAATTGTGACTATTGGGAACAATTTTGACTCAGCTTAGATAGATTTACATCCATTTCCGAAGTATCCCATGAATTTACTTGAAACCACAATCAATTGAACCCACAATCAATCAAACTTCCTGCCTAATAAATGTTCTAACATCAACTTTCCTCTGTATTTCTACTTAATTCCCTAAGGATAAAACAAACAAACAAACATACTAGGATTTAAGATATTCGAATCTACCAAAATCTCACAAATCCTACATGCTTCCAGGATCTTAGGAAGTAAACAAATATAACATATGACACTGTCGGTATGAAAAAAAAAAGGTGGTTTTGGCAATTTTTTCTCTCTCTGATGGTTTTGACAATGTTTTTCTCTCTCTCATTTACTTTTAGTTTATAATCAAAGGACATATGCTATTGAACAGACTGTGTTCTCATTTGATTTTGGGACTTTTTCTTCCAAAGGACTGGTAAAACATTTTCTCGTAGTTGTCAGAGTGAATAACTGTACTGAGCTCAAATGGGTCTTATTGTTGGATATAGCACCCTGATTATTACAAGCAAAAGTTCTTTGTATTCTCTTTTCACACCTCCAGCAAATGGTGATCCTCTTTATCTGCCATTTTCTTCAATTCTATGCTATAATAGCTTTTTTTTTTTTGGTTTATCAAGACAGGGATTTTCTGTAGCCTTGGAGCCTGTCCTAGAACTCGCTCTTGTAGTCCAGGCTGGCCTCGAATCACAGAGATTTGCCTGTCCCTGCCTCCTGAGTGCTGGGATTAAGGCATGAACCACCACAGCCACAGCCCAGCTTATAATAATTTTTTATATTAATAGGAAATGAATGAACTGATGATTTCATCAAGTTGGCTATTGTCTTGCCCATTATACTCAGGATCCAATGCAAATATATTTTAGAATACTTTGATTCAAATTAAACCATTTTGAAGAAGGAGTATTGGGGCAGGAATGGGAAAGGAGAGGACTTTGCTGCTATCATTACTTGTACACTGTCTCTTCCACACACTTTTTAAATCTACTTTTGGAGACATTTTAAGTTAGATTTTATACAATAAAAGTGTTTACATCCCTGATAGATGAACCTATTTCCTATCATGAGTAGTGGTGTACATATTTGATTTCATTACTCAGGTGGATCTCTGAGTTCGAGGCCAGCCTGGTTTGCAGAGTGAGTTTCAGGACAGTCAGGGCTATCCAGAAAAACCCTTTCTTGAAACACCAAAAGAAAAGCCAAACAAACAGAAAGATCAGTTTTGGGAAGAATTAATAGAAAGAAAGAAAATGAAAATAAAAACCATATTTTATTTGTTTCTTAGTTTGTTAGTTTCAGATATTTCAAAACACCTCCTCCTCCCTTGGCTTCCTCATGTTCTCAGAAGAGATTGTAATTTCTTCTGTTTTCCTCTTAGGGACAACCTGGATCAGTGAAATACTGGATTTGATCTACAACAATGGAGATGCAGAGAAGTGTAAGCGGGATGCCATCTACAAACGGGTGCCGTTCATGGAGCTTATAATTCCAGGACTGTCAAATGGTATTTTTAAATAACTATTCCTTTCCATAGGAATAAATTTACCAGTTTTCCCAGTATATGTGAAGAAGTCAAGAACAACAATAATACATAAAGAACAAATACTGTGAAATAAGTGTCTAGAGGAGCTAGAATTTAGCTAGGCCCCATCACAGACAGCATCTACATATGGTGAGATCTTGATCTAGCTTGAATATCTTATTATATAGAAATTTTCATAATTTAACTAGTGTATCATATTATATCAAGGAAATTCAATACTGAATCACACAAAATTATGTAACTAGTTAATACATATATATATTGTTATCAATATAAAATGATAATACTTTATATATGCTCAATAAAAATATGGGAATACATTGCTTTACATTATTTTAAACCTTGAAAAAAAGAACAATGAATATTATGATATAATTTTATCTTAGGACTTGAATATGAGAGAGATTGACAAGAACTTTGAAATATTTTCATATTGTACACAAGACAAAGGGTGAAGAGAAGACCTAGAGACTGTTCCACAACTGTTCCTTCTGCTCCATCAAGATGTTACAAACCAAAAACTGTTTCTATAGCCAGATGTAGAGATCATTATACTATTGTACTTATAGAGAGTAAAATAGGCCACTTAGCCATGACTTTTCATGGTTTGTATTCCTTGAGATTTAAGAACATAGGAATTTGTTGAACCTTATAATTAGCAAAACAGAAAAAAGAAAAAAAGAAAAATAAACATTACCAAGCCATTAATAATTAGAAAGATCTTAGGATAAATTGCAAATAAGTCACGTGACTTCACGCCTATAATGCAGTTTGTTAATGTGTGTGCTTGTAGGTATAGAACTGTTGAAAAACATGCAGTCTCCTCGACTCGTGAAAACTCATCTCCCTGTTCAACTTCTGCCTTCCTCATTTTGGGAAAATGACTGCAAGGTAGCAAGTGAAAAATGATCCCTCTGTCTTTTCATGATTTGCTCATTATTTTTTTGTGATTAGAATATAATTATATAATTTCTACCTTCCATTTACTCCCTCTAGCCCCACCCATAAATTTCTTGCTCTTGTTGTTATTTACATTCAAGGGTTTTTCTTTAATTGTTGACATGTATGTGTGATATAACATATATATCAACATATATATGTTTGTATGTATGTATGCATGCATTTATACACTTTTTCAACATACACAACCTGTTCAGTCTGTATAATGTAAGTGGTATATATGTGCATTTTTAACTGTAAGACAAGGTATTGTGAATATTGGATGAGTCATTACAAAGCAACAGAATGACAATTGTAGCCAAGGGTCCATATGACAATACTGGACACCAATTATGAAGAAAAGGATTGACACTATGGCAGAATCATGGTCAGAATTTCTAACTTTCTTAATTTATTCACCAACCATTCACTACTTTTCAATCATTGATATTCAAATAATAACAGAAGAGATTCATTGAAACTTACAAGAAATTGACAGGTATTTTAGGAGGAGGCCACTTGTTGGTTCATGGCCACCCAGCTAGCTTAGACCCAAAATGATCACACAGAAACTGTATTAATTAAGTCACTGCTTGGCCCATTATCTCTAGCTTTTTATTGACTAACTCTGACATATTGATTTAACCCATTTCTATTAATCTGTGTATTGTCATATGGCTGTGGCTTACTGGGTAAAGTTCTCAGCATCTCTCTCTGGTAGCTCCATGACTTCGCCTGACTTTGCCCTCTTTCTTCCAACACACAGCCTAGCTTTTCCCGCCTAGTTCTGTTCTGCCCTTGCCATAGGATCAAAGCAGGTCTTTATTCATTAACCAATAAAAGCAACACACTGACAGAAGGACCTTCCATACCAAGGTATATTTAATTCTTCAAATTAATCAATGAATATTTAAAATTAAATATTATTTGCAGATGATAACTCTATAAGCAATCCAGTGTACTGTGTAAATACTATTTCACTAATTATTAATGATACACAGTTATATATATCCATACATTTTATTATTTTATTTTATTAAATTTTCCAAACATTACATTTGGGAGAAAAAGTACAAGCATACAAAATAAAATAACTTCATGATTATTAGGAAATTATCATAGATATGAAACTCATATCTTTGAGAATATATATATCATAGTATTCTTCTAGTAGTAATTTTTGTGTTTTCACCAAAAACACAAAATATTATCATCAAAAAACCTTCTGCCATCTTTCTTATAATTATAAGCCATGTATAATGTCCAATTCATTATGATTTCTCTCATGATACATGTGAAAGCTGTTCCTATTATATGCATTTATGTGTTCTCTTGTGTTCACAGAAAGTAGACAACCATCTCTCTACACATGCAATTCTCAGGTTTTATTAGACTTTTTGTATCATGAATTGCGTGAATGACGACAAAAAATCCAAATTTTAACAAGAGCATATTAAAATTTTATTCAGATTAAAGTCTAAATACCAGTAACAAGCAGTACCATATACATGTGAACACTTCACAGATTATTTATGAATAGTACTATTGCTTGATGATTGAATTCCTGCCAGTTGTCAACAATAGAAATAGTGTTTCTGTTCATATTTTCATCTTTTAGGGTATGTATGTGAAGAAGGAGCAGTAGGTTGCTTTTTGTCCTGCCCGGCGACTGGCCGCCTGGCTAGCTTTACCCAAAATAGTTACACAGAAACTGTATTCATTTAAACACTGCCTAGCCCATTAGTTCTAGCCTCTTCTTGGCCAACTCTCACATTTTGACTAACCCATATCTAATAATCTGTGTAGCACCACAAGGTGGTGGCTTACCAGAAAAGATTCAGCATGTCTGACCTGGCAGCTGGCTCCATGGCGTCGGCCTCATTGCCTTCTTCCCAGCATTCTGTTCTGTCTACTCCACTCACCTATGTTCTGACCTATCAGGCCAAACAGTTTCTTTATTAATTAACCAGTGAAAGCAACACATAGAAAGAAGACCCACCTATATCGTGTATGCACATTTTCTCTTGACTGTGTGTTTAGGGATAGAATTGTTGGAACTTAACATGTTCACTCATTGGTTTAGTAGATATTTTTAAATAGGATTCAAAATGTTGATGAGCAGTATCAACTAAGTTGTTCCATATCTTCATTAACATGAAATATAGGCAAATCATTTCATTTGATTCATACCAGTGGATACTCAAGGGTTTATTTTGTGTTTTTGATTGACTAAGTAGGTTAGGATTTTAATTATGGCTTATTAACCACCTGATTATCTTCACTGAGTTATCTCTTCTTTTGCCTCCTTTTACATAATGGTTTCCATCTTCTCAATACACATACACAGAAAGAAAGAGATGGAAACAGAAAGGGACAGAGAGACAGAGACAGAGAATTAGACATTCAATTAGTGAAAATTAATAAAAGCCCCAGAAGGAGGCTTGGTTTACTTTTAGGAGGTTGTGGAGACATCTTCATAGAATGTTGTCTATACTAAAATAAGTCAAATATATTTTGCAAAAGGCCACAGATGTTATTGCTAGATGCTTTGGGCTAATTGCTATGGTCCCCTGATATTGAAATAAGAAAGAGCAAGTATTGATTACAGGGTTTAATGATTTCCTCAATAAGTGTACAAGCAAACTGTGCTACATCTCTTGAAAAACCTTTAAGTCCACTCCTTATCCATATTCATTTCCTAGTTTATCATGGCCACTTTTTTTGACATAGAAGTGTGAAAGTTCCCATTTTGCTCATCAGTGGGGTGAGAAGGAAAATCTAATCATAGCTGCACAATAGTCTCTTTGCATACTCTTTCTTCTTGAACACATTTTCCTAGGAAAGGGTCACTCCATACACAGCTAAGCTTCAAGCATCTTAAATTTTGCTTTCTAGGAGAGGAGGCCTAATGTATGTCAGTAGATAGACTCCATAAAATAAATTTCCCAGGGTCTCTCGTTCTTTCTCTCTCTCTCTCTCCCTACCCCGAAGAAAGTCAGAAGACAACTTGTGGGACTCAATTATCTCTTTCACCATGTGGATTCTAGGCATTAAAATTAGGTCATCAATCTTGATTTTAAGTGTCTTTGCCCTTTGAACTATCTTTTCATCCCCAGAATAATTTTTATTGGACAATAATTCTTCATTCATACAGATCCTAAAATTTGATACATAGATATTAATCCCACACATATTGTTATATAGCTTTGGTTTGGAATATAAGGGATTGTAATCTTTTCTAACTCTAAAATTATCTATTAATAGCTTTTCTTCAGTGATAATTTATTTTTCAGCTTAAAATTTTATTTAATTTTGTTAATTTTGCTGTTTGATAATTTCATATTTGCATATGTGCACTTTGATTGCTGTCATCCTACCTTTTCTTGTCTCTCTCCTATCCCTTTGTATAGTTTTAAGTTTTCTATTAATCTACATGCACTATGCATATAGATTCCCAAATTTAAGAATATGTAAGTTGTTTGATTTATTAAATATTCAGTCTAGTTCATTTTCCCCAAACTTTCTTTGTATCTCTTTTTTTTTTAATTGAAAGTAGACTCTGCTCTTGCACAATACATCTCCATCACAGATTCCCCTCACTTCATTCTTTCTAGGTTCCCTTCACCTCCCTTTTCCCATATATCCATCCGCTCTCCATTTCATCTCCAGAAAAGAAAAGGCCTCCAAGAGCCAATAGTCAAACAGGACAAAACATGATGCAATAAGATAAGGCAAAACCCCTCATATTGAGGCTGGACAGGGCAACCCAGTAGAAGGAAATGAGTGTAAAGAGCAGGCAAAATTGTCAGAGACTCACTGGCTTCCACAGTTAAGTGTGCCACAAAGCACCAAGCTAAAAGCCATACCATATATGCAGAGAACCCAATGCAGACCCATGTAAATCCTGTGCTTGCTGCCTTAGTCTCTGTGAGTCCACATGAGCCCTGCTTAGCTGACTCCATGTGCCTTGTTTTCCTGATGTTCTGTTTTTCTCTGACTCCCACAGTCAATCCTAGCTTCTGGTCTTCCATGGGGTTCCTGAACTCTGAGGGGAGAGGTCCAATGAACACCTACAATTTATACTCTCTCTCCAAATAATGTTTGGCTGTGGGTCTGTGCACCTGCGCCAATCTACTACTGCAAGAAGCCTCTCTAATAACAGCTGGACAAAGACTCAATTTATGAGTATAACAATATCATTAGGAATCACTCCCTTTCATTTATTTTATTTTATTTTGCCAGTCATGTTTGGTTCTACCCTAGGTCTCTAGTCTATGCAATCATGGGCTCCTGACCATGCAGGCAGTGTAGGGCATGGCATGGACCTCAAATTAACCAAACACAGGTACACACAAGTTCTGTGCCTCCATTGCCCTAGTACAACCTGCAGGCTGAACTGGTTGTAGGTAGAGGGTTTTCTGACTAGGCTGGTGTCCAGGTTTCTCTTTCTATAGCCTGAAGAATATCTTCTCATGCCAAAGAGTCTACAGTGTAAGGATAGGGGTGAATGCTCTAGTTCTTATTGTAGTTAATTTTCATGTTTCAAGAGATAATCTGTTCTGTCTACCCCGCCTACCTATGTTCTGACCTATCAGGCCAAGCAGTTTCTTTATTAATTAACCAATGAAAGCAACACATAAATAGAAGACCCTCCTACACCAAATCTTGTGAAACGTTAAAGAGAATGCAGATTTGTCAAAAATGGGAGATGAGCTTCTGCGTATTAAAACAATATATAGTTGTGAATGCTGTAAGTCAGGCATTATTGCATAAATATCATGCTTAGAAACTGTAAAGAATAAATAAGCAAACTGATAATGTAAGCAATAGTTAAAAACTATTAACTTACAAAAACAAACCCCAGCCTTCCATTTGCCCCTTCAGATGGTCTATGTGGCACGGAATGCCAAAGATGTGGCTGTTTCTTACTATTATTTCTACCAAATGGCCAAAATGCACCCAGAGCCTGGTACCTGGGAGGAGTTCCTTGATAAATTCATGTCTGGACAAGGTGAGTATAACAGTTCCTTTAGTTATGATTTCAAAACAAATAGGGTTTTCTTTTCCCAAGGCAATATAAAGTTTAAAATCTAAATCTTATGAATACTATAAATTTAATATTTACCAAACCATCTCCAAACACATTATGGAGACTAAAGAGAAAGAATATAAGATCCTTCCTTCTTTGTGGGCACTTTTGGATAATTTTTGCTATATATGTTTTTGGTCCTAGATTGCATCATTTCATTAGTGATGAATGACTGCTGGCAATGTATTTAAGTGCTTTTAAATCTCAGTGCTTATAATGGATTATTTTAATTGTGTGTCCATTCTTTGGAGTCTCTTCTCTACCATTCAAAACTCCTGTAGGAAAAATTCTCAGTAGACATGTTCCTATATAAATCCCCACTTAGAAGCAAATGTGTATAGGTGACACCTAGCATGAACTTAACAGCTCTCATTGCTTGAACATTTATTTGCTTGTGGTGTCAATATTATTAGCCCTGTCAAACCCCAAAGACTTCTCAGAATGAAATGCACTCTACTTTTCCACAGGGCTCTTGTGACACCCCCTTTATGTAATGTTATTTATTCACTAGTCCTTATCCTGTGAACTTGCACATTGCTTATTATTTGAAACACTTGGGTTCTGCAACCTTATTTTTGTGGTTTTAGTTATATTTATCAAATGACATATTAGTTTACAAAAGCTACCATAAAATATCATATTGAGTGATTAAGATGTTAGAAATGCATTGTTTTTAAGTTTTCAGAATCTACAAATTAAAAAAGAAAGTGCTATTAGTGTTTCTTTTACAGCTCTTCCCTTAATCCGTGCAGGGCTCTCTTCACCCTGTTCTCTCCATGGTTTTCCATCTTGGTGGGTCTGACTTAACTCCTTTACCAGTAAGGGCAGTGATAGTATCAAGAACTGATTTTATTAGTTCTGTAGGGACCTGTTCTCTAAGTACAATTTCATTATTAGGTTTGAAGTGTGGCCATTTCAGTATATGGATTTTGGAAAGACATGATTCACCTTGTAACAGAGTTACTTTTCTCTTTGAAAGTAGATTTCAAATTCAGTAACAAAGTGGTTATCTCACATACTCTTATTCATATGGCCCTTTTCCTTGAACTACAGAAATCACTGTTTATGGACAGATAATCACGACTTAAAGAGACATTTTGCTATTTTCTACTTCATGTAAATAGTTTTTAATTTCACATTTTATCTTTAACTTTAGTGGGTTTTGGTTCCTGGTATGATCATGTGAAGGGCTGGTGGGAGAAAAGAAAAGATTACCGTATCCTCTATCTATTTTATGAAGATATGAAAGAAGTAAGGAGAAATTTCTGTTTATTTTTTTAAGAAACCTAAGATTTAACTTCTTTGTCTCTTACTCTCTTTTCTTCTTAGTCTATAAATATTGCTAAATTATTTTTAACTTTATTTCTGGCATACAATACTAATTCTTATAACTCCCCCATCTTGCTACTTGTTATCCATCCAAGGACAATAGTATCTTTGAAATAAAAACTGGTATATTTCCACTCATGTCTTCAAATAGTTTAGTTACTTCTTTAAAAACCACAAATATAACTGTTTGAATCTTGCCTTATGAATTAAAAGTATAATAAAACCCTCAAATATACTTCCACTAGTTAAGTTTAAACAAAATCTTATTAAGAGCACTCTTTTCTTTGTGACCAAATCCAAATGAAATTATTCTTTTCCCCTTTAACGTTTCAGGATCCAAAGTATGAAATTAAAAAGTTATTAAAGTTTCTAGAGAAAGACATACCAGAAGAAATAGTAAATAACATCCTCTACCATAGCTCTTTTAATGTAATGAAGGAGAATCCTAGTGCAAATTATACCACTATGAACAAAGAGGAGATGGACCATTCTGTGTCGCCATTCATGAGGAAAGGTGAGAAAAGTACTAATTCATTTCTGTATAGTTTCTGGTCACATGATGGAAAATATAATTAATCACAATAGTGTGAGAATGTAGGAAATTAGAAGCGATTAAGTATGCTGAGGAGAGAAACTGAAAAGTAGAGAAAACAAAAGCTTTAGAAGAAATATTGTATACTATTCTATGCCGTTGCTGTGAGATGTAAAGAGAGATTTATGATGAGAAATATTTGCTCAACATCCTGTGCACCAATAAGTGTTATCATTCTGTCCTTAGTATTTAACTCAACATTAAACATCTTTTATAAATTTGATATATATTATATATATTTACATATATATTTAATTTTGTGTATGTGTTCATAAGTGTCTGTGTGTATGAGTAGAAAATAGCAGTAGATAGATGATAGATAATTGATAGGTAGATTTAGAGATTTTGGTGAATGTCTATGAAGAAACAATCAAGACTCATTATGAATAAAATTTTATAGATTCTAAATGATTTTTGTAGGTAATGAATTATGCCATCAGAAGCTTTACTGTAATATCTCAAAGTATGATTTTTGTTTCTTAGGGAACAAACATGTGAAGACATTTTGATTGTTACAATTAGGAAACAGCTATTGGTGTCTAGAAATTTATGAGGTAGATGAAAGTCTCCCTTTCAAATCCAAGAAATTTTCTGGATCAAATGTCTCTAGTTGACATGGAAAACTAGGTTTCTAATTATGTCTCTTATGTTACTGCAGAATATTCTGTGAAAACAATAAATTAATAAAATATTCTTAGCATGTCTTTATGATATGGTATATCCTGTATATTTTTATAAAACTTTTTGACATTTAAAGGCTCAGCAGTAAGTGTGCTTAACTATATTTACCCCAATAATTTCCAATCTTCCTTGTTAATAAAACTTTTCACAAAAGTTGTCCTTTTTCCCTGTTAACCAAAGCTTTAAAATAAATGAGAAGTGCCCTTTACCCTTTGTTACAAGGGTGCTTACAGTCAAAGAATTAATATTGAGATTAGGTGGCATTCTTCCACGCCATTTCTTTAAAGACACTTCATAATTAATATCATTTTTACATAAGATATTATGATTATAAAATCTACAGAAGTTGGAAGGCTAGGAAGGTTTAAGACTAGCAGTTCAATATGAAGTTGAAGATTAAAGTTATGATGCATTCAAGTTGATAATTCAAATTACTATGAGACAGAAATTTAATAGTAATCCCAAACTTCTTTTTTTATCTCTTGTACAGGTATTTCAGGTGACTGGAAGAATCAGTTTACTGTAGCCCAGTATGAGAAATTTGAAGAAGATTATATCAAGAAAATGAAAGAGTCAACACTTAAGTTTAGATCAGAAATCTAGAGTGTATATTCTTCTTAGTCTTCTTTGGCTGACACTGAAATTAGAGGGGAAAACCATGGATTAATGAACTAAAAGGTTGTACATTATTTTTCTGTATTTACACAGTCTACAAACCAAAGTTACCAATATCAAGTAGTAATTCTCTCCTAATTCTCTTTTAGATCAGTTCATGCAGTGGCTTTCCCCTCACTGTCTAGTATGAAAAAAATAAAATTTTATGAGGACTTATAGCATGGCATGTTTTCAGTTTCCACAACTAATAGCTTCCTTACCCTATGTACATGGTCTTCCTTCTCTCATGACATAGGCTTCTTATTGATGTTGTTAATCTCAAAGGTTAGGTTATCCTCTAGAAAAAGACTACATTTCATGAATTCTAATCCTTCAATTTAATCTGTTGATATTTTACATCTTAAGACATCCAGTCTTTAACATTGTCAAATTATTCTAACTTACAATGTCAGAATATCCTATTTCCTCTTATGGTTAGTTTAAAAATACTAAATTTAAATAAACAAATCAAGAGCAGATTTTATAGGATTTAAAGTAACAGTTATTAGAGAGCCAACTCTTCTTATTCATGTCATATACTAAAGCTATTGTAAAATTTATTGCAGAAAATAGTGATGTTTGTTCAAAATACTTCAACTGGCTAGTCTATCATCTACATTACATCCAATTAGCATCACTTCTGAGATGAAAACTCTGTACAATTAATTACTTTCAGTAATCTTCCTTTTTCTTGGCTCACTTTTAGATCATGTTAGGGTCATTTTGCTATTGCTCCTGAAAATAATCATTTCTAAATGAGACAAATGCTCATTTTTGAACTATTGAGAGATATAAACTCAAGATACTTTAGCTTTGTCTCCAGGAACTAATAATTAGTGAAAAGCAGAAACTGTAAGACAGCCGAATAAAATACTGTATGTTTCCATTCAACACATAATATTGTTTGTCATAGCCTACATTTACACAATGGAGTACTACACAGCAGGAAAAAATCTTGAATTTTGCAGGAAAATGGATGGAGACAGAAAACATTATTTTGAGTGAGGTAACCCAGACACAGAAAGACAATTATCACATGTACTCACTCATAGATAGTTTTGAAATAGAAAACAAAGAAAACCAGCCTACAAATCACAATAGACAACAGTGAAGACACTGAGACTTATATGGATCTATTAAACATGGGACGTAGACAAAGACAAGATCTCCTGAGTAAATTGGGAGCATGGGTCCTTGGCGGAGGGTGGAAGGGGGAGGGGAGAGGCAGGGAGGAGAACAGAGAAAAATATAGAGCTCAATAAAAATCAATAAAAAGATATTCTTGACATAAGAAAATTGATAAGTTGCTTCATTCTGCACTGGGCACAGCAGTAGCAAGTGAGTATGCAGAGGAGAAAAGGGAGAGAAGGAAGCAAACACATATGTCATAAAGACATGTGAGAGAAAGAGAAAGCAAGAAATCAGAGTTCTATGAAGACAGGTGGACCTAGAGGAGCTATAGCACCGAGAAACACCCTGATTTGAGAGCCCGACACAGCCACATGAAGACTGGGCTCCCTTTGTGAACCAGGGCCTTGTGTCTTATGTTTTCCTAAGGCATGCGGGATCTGTGTCGATGTCCGTGGCCTGCACTACCACTGAAGAAGGCTCTGAGGATGTCTGGGTCTGTATTGCACCTGGAGCCATCTTAATGTCCAAAGGTCACACTGAGCTGGCTCTACTATGCACCTGTCACCACATGTTGGTACCAGTAGAGACATGGGCTTGGTAGAGTTAGCCCTGGTAGTATGGGTGCTGGAGAGCTGACTTTGCCCCTTGTCAGGGCAGAACAGGATTTCTGCCTCTGGTAGAACCAGGCACTATGGCATGGGTGCAGGAGAGCTTGCTCTGCCCCTTGTTGGGGCTACACTAGAGAACTGGCCCCAATGGCATGGACATGGGAGAGCTGGCATTACTTAGGGCTGGCTGATGTGCTCAGGAGAGTGGGCCTCATTCCTTGTCTGGACAGAGCAAGAGAGCTGGCCCTGGTGGTATGGGAACTGGAGAGCTGGCCCCACCTCTACCCTGGACCAGTCATATAGGGTAGCTTGCCCCACCACTTGCTGGTTGATGTTTATAGAAGAGGGTGCCTCACCCTTTGCCAAGATAGTAAGGGAAAAATCAATAAATTCATATTTAACCTACAAAAATAAGTAAATAAAATACTAATAAAAGTATTACTCATTGTTGTTCTTAAAGTCTCCCTAGCAAAGGTTTTCCCTCCTTCTATTGTGAATTTATGCTAAATAAAAAAATCAGAAGTCCTTAACAACAACTGGGATATGAAGTGTGGAGTAGCATGTGGTTCGGGGCACATGAACAATGAAAGCCATATTTAATGGTTTACAAGTATGGAGTGTTCAAATAATAAATGAAAAAAATATACCAAATGCAGATATGAATGCCTGAACAGCTCCAGAGACAGGGTGATAAGTGCCCTGAGCATTTCTTTCCAATTTTGTTTAGATCGTGTAAACATGTAAACAAATATTCTTAATTTCTTAAACTCTTATCCCTTTATAGTGTAACTTTACACTGGGTAAATGCCATTTGCTATGTTTTTTTTTTAAATCGACATTACCATATTTAAGTGGCAGGAGTTTTAAAAAAGATGAGAACTTGTCAAAATGCCACCTATTCTGGCCAAAGAATTAGTAGGTTTTTAACTTCTCATCTACAGTATTGTTGTCAAGTTTGGGTGGAAAGTCACCTGGTAAACTAACCTTTGTTTGCAAGCTTGATAGAACTGGAAGATGACTAGAAGATAAGGAAGATACACTTTGGGGTTTGAAACAAAATTTGGAAGAAGGGGAACCTAGACAGTACCATATAAGTTTTGTTCTTCCTGTGTCACTGTGTCCATTGGTGCTACCATTGTCCATCAATACCAAACTCTGGGTTCTTCAGGCGTCACTGCCTAAGCAACAGAATGCTTTTCTAAATATTAATGACTTGATACCTCAAATACTAAAGCAAGTAACTGTTCTGGTTGTCCCTTGTATCATGTTAAAACAATCTTTGTCCTTCTTCACCCTTCCTGCTGTATTGGGGTATAAAAGTGTATGGAAAACTAAATGTGGGCGATTTCAGTATTCACTGAAACTTCTTCCAATTACTGTTCTGTTTCTGTTCTATTATTTCCACTCATGTCTTTGTTCTCTTTATTAATTTTCTAATCCCTTACCTTGGTACGTGATATTTTTGTCAAAAGTAGTCCCCCAAATATATATATGTGTGTGTGTGTGTGTGTGTGTGTGTGTGTGTGTGTGTGTGTGTAAAAAGAGAGGGAGAGAGAGGAGATAGGAATAAGTAGATAAGATATGGCTTATCTGACCGAACTGTCACTAGTACTAATCTATGGATACAAGCATATAAGCATAAATATGTAGAAGACAATTTGATGACACATTATATTCACTTAGCAAAACGACATCAGTAACTTATCTTTTAGTGCTCATGCTGACCTGGCTTACCGTACCAGATATAAAACCTCTTGTTGAGTGGGACTAAAGTCCAAATAGAGGGTGTTCCATTTCTGTCCATTTAGTCATTTTGCTTCTGTACCACTGCATAAGTTTTTCCTGGTCTGTCTTTATAGTGCACCCAGTGTTCACAAATGACTCAAAAATTTGACATTTTTCTTAGCAGTAGGCAGTAGGAAAGCTAGCCAGGGATGAAACAATTACCCCAGCTCTGGCTTGATTTCTCTATGTCCTGCAAGTGATCTCTTCAGGATTAGAGTCTTACCATTTAGTCATGGTGAGCAACTAGCAGGAGTGGCAAAGTGTTTGGGTAGCATCAGATGTCTCCCTAACCAATAACTTATAAGGAGGTATCCCACCTTGACCCCAGGGTTTTTGTTAATACTCTATGACTTGCAAAAGCTTTGTTCATCTATTCAGACAGTTGAAGGAACATTTTCTGCAGATACTTCTAATTTCTCAAAGTTTCCTTGAAGTGGCTTACAAAGGAAAGGAGGCAGTAAACAAGGCTGACCCTGAAGGGCTTTAATATGAACAGAGTAATACAGGAGATGAGACATTTGTTTTATAGTGCTTTCATTAAAAAGTCATATTTTGTGAGCATGGGTTCAAGATAGCTATACACTTCTTGGTCAACAATCCAAGCAGCCTCTCTCCACCTCAGACAAAGAACTTCCAGAATGTGAAAAGCACTGCATTCATACATGCAGGTTCCTCCACAATCAAACACAGAATGCTTAGAAGGAACAAGAAATTGCAAAGTTATTACAGACCACATCAAGTCTTCAATGTTTTCTCAACAATTTCTAATAGATGTCTTTCCCCTTAACTCAGGGAGAAGACCATGGCTGAGTGTTTATATTTAGCCATCCTATAGAATAAAACAAAATATTCTGTTCAAAATTTAAAGAATAATAAAACAAAATAAAATTTCAATGATGTCACTAGTAGTAGTTGTAAAGTCTGAGCCCACATCAGCTTTGACAGGATTGCAATTATGGAATTTGTCACATGATTACTATAGACTTAAGTTCATGATTTTGGGGGGTGATTGAATTTGTACCTGGGCATTTCCTTCTGTGTGTTTATATCAGAAGGAAGTTTTGAATCAAATAATTTTCTCAGTAGTCTAAACCTTCAGTTGCTGTTGGTAGAATAGCAAATAAGGGAAAATAATACGTGTTGTCATTCTGGGGGAGTGACAATAGGGCCAAACATTACTCATTGTTTCTTATCTATTAATATAAGTAAGGAGATTTAATGTAAGCTGCTTAAAGTGATTGAGTTTCAATAGACTATGCAAAATGTGTAACCTGTTCTAGTGGGAACAGCAAAATGCCCAGGCTGTGGAATTGAGACTTAGTCTTTCAAGCCAAGGGAGGTAAATCTCTTCCTTCTTCCATGGGACAAGGGTTGTTTACTTATTCTCAATTACCTACACTTATTTTTATCCTTAGACAACTATTTCTCAGAAAAACTATCCAAGACATTCTTTAATGTGGAACAGATGTAATGTCTATTAAAATGCTTTTATTTTGCATCAAATTCTAATGTTTTAGAGTGCTGTATTTGAAGTAGAGAATTCTAAATGATACTTTAGACCTCCATGTTTGTAACATAGAATATTAACTAGATGTCAAAATTAATTACTGATTCATTTATGATCTTCTTTATCATAGATTTATATATAAGCTTCT